TATGACAGCTAAAAGCAGGAGAACTGCATCCACATGATAAGCAGCCAGAAGCTCTGGGTTGGGTGTGGATCGGGTTCCAGTTTGGCAGGGGAGAAAAGTGCCTGGCAGCCCCTGCCCACTGGCTGGCTGGGCCAGGAGAGCTGGGAGCTGAGGGGCAGCAGCAGAGCAGCAGGCAGTTCATGCCTGTGTTTTCTCCTCTCCATTCAGTGCTCACTGCCCTTTTCCCAGGGTAGATGAAACATGATAAATGTGCAGAATATGCTTGCTTCTCTGGTGGAAAAAAGCCCCTCTATCTGTTTCCTGGGGAGAGGGCTGCTCTGCTCCCACTGGGAGAGTCTCACCCGTCCCGCAGTTACCATACCCTGTGCCTCCCACCCCGTACAGGCACGGGGTGTTCCATCCCTGCCAGTGGCAGAAGGTCACACACACTACTACATCAGTCTGTCCTGGCCACAGCCTTGTTTTTCCCAAACAGCATTCTGCAGCTGCTGGAGAATAATTCCTGCAGGCTTTCTGGGGTTTGGAGGCTCAGGTCCCACGTGGGGCTTCAGGAGAGGAGCTTGGGCAGAACAGGGTGAGCTGTGCTGTGGGTGCTGTGTCACTGTGGACTCTCGGCAGCTCATGTGCAAGGGGCTGTTGTTTTTGCACCGTGACTGCGCTCGCTGTTGGGGCTGCTGACAGAACACTTACCTGTAGGCACCCACGTGTGCTTGGGGCTGCAGTTTGGCTCCTCACCCTGCTCCTGGGATGTGCTTTCCTGCAGACACCCATAGTCTGGCCAGTCCCTGCCGCATGTGGCTGCCCAGCCCCTGGGCACTGAGCATGGGTGCCCAGCAGGGTGTGCTCCCTAGTCCCCTCCCCACATCAGGCACAGCTGACTGATGGCTGGGCTGGGAGGTGGCCTGTGGTCATTAACCCTCCCATCCACTGCTGGCATTGCTTTGCCATCTGCCCACAGCTTTGCCCTGGTGGGAAGGCACTCTGTCCCCTGCCCCGGCTCAGTCTCATCCCTGAACTAAGCCTGCACTGAAAGTAGAAGTGCAAAGCTGAGCAGTACTGGGTCTGCCAACACTGACCTGTGCTTGGAGCACTGGCTGGATGAGGGCCACGGCTTCCCAGGGCTTGGATGTTGCAATCTCAAGGACCTCTCCTCCTTGGTGGCATTGTCCCTGTCCCCATGGGGGATTTAAGTCATGCCTGGAAGCAGCATCCAGGCTTGCCATGGGTTCCCATTGCCCAGGTCCTCTGCCTTGAGTGCTCTCAGGTAGCCCTGGTGCCCATACCATGCCCCTCCGAATCTCTTGTATGACCTAGGCCAGCCCCCAGTGCTGGTGATCCATGGGGACCAAACCCTGCTGTCCCAAGGCACAGGACTGGACTGTCAGGTGCCTGTGGTTTTGGTTGTGGGTCCCCAGGGAGGCTGAACTCCCCTCCCCAGGAACCAAAACAAACACCAGAGTTCCTGCCACGTGCGGCCGGGGCTGACTAAGGCCGGACGCTTCCGTCTGCCGCGGGCAGCAGTGGCCGGGGCTGCGAGCCACCACCATTGGGTGCACGGCACAGCCCATTTCCCCCTATTGTCATCCTCCCCCTCAGCAAACACATCCCCCTGTGCACCTGGGCTGGGAGAGGCACTGACGACACCGTGGCCAGCCGCCAGGGATGAGAGATGTGATGCCGAGGGCATCTCGTGGAGTCGGAGCTGCTGCAGCACAGCTCTGAGAAGTCCTTAAGGGCCCAGGTAGGTTGTTTGCAAGTTGTTTCCTTGAGGAGCAGCAATGACCATCCAGGGGTTACTGGAGAACCCCGCGTTTCCCAGAAGTCAGCAGCAGTCTCCTGGCAGAGAGAGAGTTGTCCAGAGGCTAGGGCTGGGGAAGCCCCTGCCAGACCATTCCCATCTTCATTCTCACTCTCAAATGCAGGTACAAACAGCTCCAAGCCTCCAGTCTCAAGCCCATCTGTCTTCCACCTTGCATCCCCACTGCAGAGACACAAGCTGCAGATCATTGATCTGGTTTATCTCAGCATTAGCCATCGGACCAAGCCACTGATAGTAGAGCTTACGAGAGTCTCTTAGGAGAGATCAGGGCCAGGGAAAGCAATCAAATGAAACAGCAAGGGGGAGACATGGGTGCTGTGGGATAAAGGGTAGGTGCGAGGAGCCCAGTGCCTTAAAACCTTGTGCTGCTTTGACCTTGGGAGTGCATTCACAGTGCAGAACGTAAGTAGCTGCTGGAGGGGCTCTTGCCCACTGGGGTCAGCTGCAGAGAGGGTGGCTGTGCCAAGTGCTGGAGCACAGAGGGTTTGGCACTTCCCTTGACAGAAGCCTAAAGCTTTGATGAGACTGATTCTGGTGTCCTAAATAGCAGCAGAACAAAAATAATGCCCTGAGGATTTCAGAGGTGTTCTCTGAGGGCTTCAGGGGTGATGCAGGAGATCCTTAAGCCTACAGTCAGCTTAAGAGTGACTCAGGGACAAGTTTTTGTTGGGCTCTTGCCAAAGGTGGGATTTTGCAGGGGATAAGATGCACACAAAGGGGTTTTGATGCTGAAATGGGTCTGTTTTATGGAAAAGGTGACTCAGAGGGACCTCACCTGCGATGCACAGGGTGAGGTTTTGCAGGGCAGAGCAGCTGCCTGCTCTGGGCTCCTTCAGTGGTCATGGGCAGCCAGGGGTCCTGCTCTTGCCCCTTACCCAGAAGATGTAGGCAGCATGGAGGTGACCCTGTTCCCTGGCAGGGATGTGCCATGGCATGCTTGCAGCTGGGTGCCAGGACTGGCCTTCCCCACGGGCAGCCAGGGTTCACCGGCAGCAAGGAGCCACAGCAAGCTCTGTGAGCAGGGCAGGGAGGTGGCACAGACAAGCAGTGGCATATTCAAGGCAATGCTCTCATCCAGCAGTGGGGCTCACTGCAGGGGAGGCATCTGCTCTTTAAGGAAATGTCTCTATTTGCCTTATGTCCCTGGCTGTCTCTTGAGCCTCCTCTGTCCCTTGTTCCCAAAGCGCGTAACGCTGCTCCCCAGAGCCGGGTGGGAGGCGGTGTGAGGGACATGCCGGGACATTTATAGCACCGACCTCCAGCCCTATCCTGCAGCTGGGGAGGGGCAGGTTTGGCCTCAGGGACGGAGCATGGTGAAGGGGAAAGCAAGCAATTGTGGCCCTAGCCAGCTGGATGTTTCTCCCATAGGCAGGAGGATGTTGCTGGTCACAGGTTACCAGTGTCCAAATATTATTTCTCTTCTCCTGTCTCTGTTCCATGCTGCCTAGAAAGTGGATGCTCATCCCAGGAATGTAAACTCTGCCCAAGGCCTCTGAGGAAACAGCTTCAGACCAGGAACAGGATTGCACTCGGCAATTAAGGGTTGGTCTCCCCAGCCACAGGGCTCCTAGGGGAGAGCCCTTTGCTCCAGCGCCAGAGGCTGGCCTTGTGTCTGAGAGGTGGCCCCAAGGGACCTTCCTGCAAGGACAGGCGTGAGGCCCCGTGTGGTCACGGTCTTTGCAATAACAGGATTCTGTCTGTCCAGCGAGTTGGCAGCAGCTGCTGCTCAGGGCGGCCTCTGCTCTTGGGTGGGAGGAAATGCTCCCTTCACCCCCATCTCACAGCTATCCCTGTGGAAGGTGTGTGTGGGGGGGTCCCCTTGGCCCAGGAGAGTCCGTAGGGTGATAGAGGGAGAGCACAGGCATGCTCCAGTCACCGTGTTAACGTTACCTGCTCCTTGCTGCCAAGCCAGTGGCGAGAGTATGAACAGGCACCAAAGCCCCCAGCAGCTGCTGATCTGCTGCTGTGCTGCTGAGTGATGAACTGCAGTACATCCGGCCGCGCAGTGGGGCTGGGATTTCTGTGTGCTTATCTCTCCATCTCCATGCTAATTCGACAGGCTTTGCTCCAGCAGCTTTCTCACACACACAGTAGTACCAATGCCTGGAAGCTCCCGATAGAGCTCAGCTCCTGCTTTCGCCTGAGCCGCTGCCACCTGCACAGCCCAACAGGGCTGAGGACAGGCAGCTGGCGTGTCCTGCATCCCCTGGGGACAGACCCCACAGGGGTGGGGACAGGCCATTGATGTCCTCATGCTGCAGGGACAAACCTCACACAGGGGTGGGTAGGGAAGCCCTAGAGCAGACTCCCCACTCTCCCAGGAGGACAGAAACGTGAATCCTGGCATGGATACAGAGCCCATTATTTCCCTGGGACCTGCAGCCCACGGGGGATCGTGTTGCCTGCTGAAATCTCTTCACACCTCCCTTAGCTCCAGCGTCCCTGGCCACTGGGGCTTAAAAATAGAACAGAAAAGGCCACAGAGCTTCTTTGGGCTGGCAGCAGGATTAGGGCCCAGACCTGCTTTGCACCTTTCCCTTCCAAGTTGGAGGGACCCACCATGGTGGACAGAACCAGGATGCTGTACCTGGGGCTAGTGAGGACTGGAAACATTCTGACAGGGCTCCAGTGGGGCAGGCACGGGGCAGCTTGTGGGGAATGGGGTGTGTGGATGGTCACGGGATGTCTGAGGGGGGACAGGACAACAGCAGGGGAACGGGAAGGATGGGTGGGAAAGGGGCTGTCGTGGAGGCACAGGGCAGCCAGGTGAGCTCAGGGTGCGTGACGGGCCTGGGGCAGTGAACCCAGCGAGCTGAGGAGCCCAACACAGCATCGGTGCTTCCCGCCCGCAGGGGGTCGGTCCCTAGAAGCGCCGGGGTAGCCCGACGGAGAAACGGCCGGAGGCAGAGCGGGGGGCTGGAGGAGGGGGCTCCGCCACGCCCGCCGGCACCGGCCGTCCCCGCGGCCGCCGGGGCCGGGCACCTGCTCCCGCCCCGCGGCGGGGCCGGGGCGGGGCCGCGGCGGTGAAATACGGCGACAGAGCGGGGCGCGCTCCCATGGCCCGGCGGCGGCGACGGCGGCGGCACGGTGGGGCCAGTGGCCCGGCGGCGGGACGGCTATGTCGGGGGCGGCGAGGCGAGAGCGGCGGCGCTGAGTCGGTGCCAGGGCGGTGGGAGCGGCGATGCGGCTGCTCGGCGCCTTCCTGCGGCTACTGGTGGCCGGGACGCTGGGAGCGCCGCCCGCCCCGGTGAGAGCCGAGGGGTGGGAGGGTGATCGGAACGGGGACAGCCCGGTCCCCTCGGTGCCGCTGCTCGGGGTGGCCGTGACGGCCGGGGCAGCTCCTCTCGGCGCTGAGCGGGGGAGCGGCGGCGGGTCGCTCCGTGCCGCCCCGCTAGCGCCCGCCTCTCCCTCCCCGCAGGCCCCGGAGGAGCGGGGGACCGCCAGCGCGGAGTCGCACGGTGAGTTGGCTGTGGGCGGCCGCCGGTGTCCCAGCTGGGAGGGGGCGGCAGTCCCGGGAGGGCTACGCGCCGGGCCGGGGGATGCTCGGTGTTCCTTGGGGTATTTTACCTCTGGAGCCCCGCGGCGACGCCCGGGGAGGCAGCGGGGAGCTGTGCCGGGGTTCGGTCCCGCAGCCCGCCTCGGGCGCTTGCGGTACCGGACACCGTCGCAGGCGGGAGCGGAGCGCAGCCCTGTCCCTGGCTTGCCGTCCCTCCGGTGCCGGCGTGCGGAGTCCCGGGTGGGAGCGCTCCGCTCCGGCTGCCTTGTGCTCTCCCCGCTCGGAAGCCCGAGGGGGCGGCTGTCTGCCCGAGGGAGGGCCAGGGAGCGGGGCAGCCCCGCCGCGGCGGGGGCGGGGGCGAGCAGAGTGCTTGGGGAGGAGACGGGGCTGGCGGGCAGAGGGAGAAAGAGCCCACCGGCGTGGTTGTGGGGGCTGTGCGAGCCCCCCGCACCACTGAGTGATGGACTTACTGGGCATAGGGGGTCCTCTGCATTCTTGTGCCCCACGATGGGGCACACCACCGCAGGTGCTGCACCTGCCCGGGCGGCCTCTCTGGGCGTCTCCTAATAGACCCTGTCCCGGTCTCTTGCAGTCTTGACTTTTCGGGAGATCTGGAATCGTAGTTTCTGCCGGCCACTGGAGCAGCTGGTAGACGTCACTAACGAGTTCCCCAACGAGGTGGAGTACATTTTCAGACCCTCCTGCGTCTCCCTGCAGCGCTGCGGAGGCTGTTGTGGGGACGAGGGTCTCCGCTGCGTCCCGGTGGAGACCAGCACAGTCACCATGCAGGTACGCGCTGCCGCTGCGGGACCGTGCCTGTGCCGCGGAGGTGGTGGGCTGTTCGCAGAGCGCCGGGAGGGTGAACTTGTAGACATCGTAGCAGCGTGGCTAACAAGGGAGAGGGTTTACTACTGCTCAAATGCATGCCAAGCCAGGAGGGTCCCTCTGCCGGCTCATTGGGCTTGCACCTGAGTCCAGGTGTCACCCCTGGTGGTACTGGCCTCACTCCCTGCTTCCCTGCCCTCTCCTTTCTGTGCGGGCCATCTTACTCATTGCTGTCATCTTTCCAGACCTTCCCTGTCTTGTGATGGAGTTGGAGGTCTTCCATTTGCCTATGAATGCCTACTGGGACAAAGCAGGCGCTGCCCCTGAATCTCAGGGAGAAGTGAGGCTCTCCTGTTTCAGGCAATGCCTGTGGTGGTGCTGACAGTGAATGCCTCCACACGAGGGGCGTGGTGAACATGAAGGACTGAGCCAGCCACATTTTCAGTCCCCGCTGTGGGAGCTGTGGGATGTTGGGTGGGACATCCTGGGCCGATTGACTCTTCCCCATGCGCTGGGCAGCAGTTGTCCTCACTCTGCAGCCTCTCCACCGTGCTGCCAGAGAGATCAACCTGCTGATGCTGCAGGGAGCAGGGCAAAGCTCTGCTTTGCCATGGATGACAGATTAGAGCGTGCCTGCAATAAATCATCAGTGATTTTGGTCTCTTAGGGGTTGAAAGTTTGTTGGAAGGCAAGGTGGGAGTTTCCAAAAACTCTTGACTGAGGTGGAGCAAGGCCTGACGTGAACAGAAGGCAGCTCCTCTGGCACAGGTCTCCCTCCACGGGAAGGATCCTGCTGCTGTGCACAGGGTGGCAATGCCAGACACTTCTGTGTGGATCACACCAATGATGAACATACCCTGTGAAGTCCCTGGATGTCTATCCTGAACTTCAGGCTGGGCTGTGGAGTGACACGTGACAGGGCAAATCCGGTACCCCTGGATGGGAGAGGCACTGTGATACTGACTCCAGTCCGTTCATGCTCAGTGCTGTGGGAAAGGGGCCAGGAGGAGGCAGCAGCAATGGGAATGGTCTAGAAAACTTGCCAGTGGAGGATATTTCCTTCAGAGAAGGGAGATGTGCAAAGTGGTGAAATATGTGAAAGCTTTCCACAAAGGCAGAAAAACCTCTTCTAAGGCTGGGAAATCCCAAAACCATGGGACTTAAATTAAAGCCCTGAAGACATAGGATGACACTAGCAGAGCCTCCCAAGCTGCTGGGGCAGCTGGACCTGGCCTGTGCTGCCTACGTGTGGAGGTGGAGTCTCTGTTGTTGGAGGTCCCGAGGAACAGGTTAGACATGCGTCTTCCCGAGAGGCTGGGGCGGCAAGGCAGTAGCGCAGGAGCCCTTCCAGCCCCCTCCTGCTGCCGGCTGAGAAGTAACCTTTGCTCCTCTTTCAGCTCTTGAAGATAAAGCCAAATGGGGAGGCACCCTACGTGGAGATGGAGTTCACTGAGCACAAGCATTGCGAGTGCAGGTAGGGACCCCTGGGCTTGTTTTACACCTCCAGCAAGAGTGACCCTGCCAGCTCACCCTGCATGTGGGACAGGGATGCCCAGGGGGCACCCTGTCTGTGCTGAGACCAGTTCACACTAGGGTTTGATGGTCCTTATGGCCTTTTTCAGCTGCAGACTTCACCACACCTCTGCACCTGCTCCCCACAGCCAAGGGTGTGTGGCATTGTGCACCAGGGTCAGGCACCACGCGCTGCCTGCAGGGCGGCAGCAACTGTGACTCTGTGAGCAGGCATGTCTGTGCCTTCCAGCCCTGCGGCTGCCTTGGCATGCCTCTGCTCCTCTGGCCAGAGGCTCTGCCTGTGGCTAACGGAGCAGGGCAGATGGCTCTGAGGCAGATGTTTGGTGTGTCCAGGCTGGTGGCTCAACAGGGAGGTCCGTGGCTTGGCATGCTTGAGTGTGACTGTGGCCCAAAGAGAAAGCTCAACATCTGGGCCTTGGGCCTCCATTTAATGGAGGCTGCCCCATACAGACCTGGGAAGCAGAGGTCCACGTTCAAGTCAACAAATGAAAGCTTGAAACATGCAGCACCAACATGGCATGGATATCCAGCACTGGAATGGATGTGCAGCACCAACCTGCCACATAATCCTGGCACCTAGTCAACCCCTTGGGGTGCTCACTGTGTCCCAGAAATGGTGAAAGCTTGGGCAGGATGGGGCCTGTGCCTGGAGACTGCAGTGCTGTGGGAGCAGGGAGCAGCTCTGGTGGTGCCTGCATCTGGTCCCTGCCACAGAGCCTCTCTAGCATTGTCTGCATGGGGGGTGCTGGAAATCACTCTTTGTGATCCAAAGGTGATTTAATATTGCGAAAACTGGGAGATGAGTGTCCTGCTGGGCAGCCATTAGACATAATCCTTGCCTGGAAGAAGAGCCTGAGGATCCCCGGGTTGGTATTCCCCTGCAGTTGTGTGAGCAGCTGTACTGGAGCAGACCCAGCTCCATGCTCTCTCTAGTGTCTGTCAGTGGATGCAGAAGGGGGAGTGGAAAGAAGCACATGTGTTACTTCCCCCCCTCTACACTTCCAGCTATTTTCCATGCAGGGAATTTCCTAAGCCTTTTGTGGTTTTCCTACCTAGGGTAACTCCCAGGGAATCTCCTATGAGCAGTTGAGTAGACTGCCTTAGAATCTGTGAAAACTTCTTGCTGCAGCGGCTTTTGGCTTCTCCTTAAGCTTCTTCCACACCTGCACATCGCTCCCTTCTGTAGTTTAATGTAGGTATGGTAGATGTCCTTGCCTTGACCCCTAAAGGGGATGCTTAAGCCAAGTGTGTTGTGGCTGAGAACCACTACTGAAACTTTGCAGCAAATCCCGCATGTCTGTTACTCAGGATATTTCATCTTGTTTAACTATGAGCTGCTTGAGAGCAGCTGAGACGAACTTGCCTCACTGGCAAAATGTCACATCCCCAGGGGAGTCACCAAAGCTGACCAGCCCCTTTGCTGTCTCTGCCTTCTCTCTGCCTACTGTAATCAGCTCCTGGCTGAGGTGGTGATAACATGGAGAGAAGTGATATTGGGTCTGTTTTAAGCACAAATGATAACAGGTAGATTGTGCTGTGCACTGGGGCATGCCAGTAAGCCACAGCTCGACCTGCAGCACTGCCCCATAACCACTTCACTCTCTTTTTCCCACTCTGCAGGCCCCGGCAGGATCTGATGAGGTTGGGAAGGTAAGTAACATCAGGGGCAACATTAGTGGCTGGGATTGTGGGTCTCATCTCCCACACATCAGCCCCTCTTGTGGTACTTTCCTTTTGAAGGAGGAGGTCCAAGAGCCGAGGTAAGAGAAGACAAGACAAGAAGGGACGGAAAGACTGTGAACTGTAAGTGAGCAGTGGCAGGTATGGGTGCTGTCTTGCAGGTTAATGTCTTTGGGATGAGCATCTTCTTTAAGCTTCAGATCTTTATTGACACTGTGAGAAGTGAGGGGTTTATGCAGAGCAGACACAGAAGAAAGGAGGAGAGGGCAGTGGGGCAGCTGTGAGGAGATAGGCTTTTTACTGAAGGCTTAATAGGTGCTTCACAGTCTCCAGGCTCAGCTGCTCAAAGTGGATGCTTAGAGTGGGGATGGATGGACTGGTTGACTTGATGGTGCTTAGGTCTATCACTATCATAGACCACACTAGGTTTCCCGAATCCATGAATTTCCAGTTTCAGCCTCATGTTGCTGCCAACTGTGTCTTTCCTGCTGTCCTTGACTGGTCATTGTTTGGGTTATTCTAACCTTTCCATCCTTTAGCTCACTTTCTCAATCCTCTGAAGCCTACTGTTAGGGGCTCAACCAGCCCCAGCCCCATTGCTCCCACTCCTCCCCATGAAGAGGCTGCCTGCAGTCCCTTCCCCTGCAGTTTGGTGTCAGAGGGGCCAGGCACAGAGAAGGGGGATCCGGTGCAGGGCTTGGGAGTCCAAGTGTCCCTCCCTTGCTGGCAGTGCTCACCCCATGCCATGCTCTCTTTGCAGATGTGGCACACCACGCAGGTAGCCTCTGCTCTGCCCCCAGCCTTGATCCTGCTGCCTGGATTTGAGCCAGTTGCATTTCCCCCTGGCATGAGAGACTTGTGCAGTCATGTCCCTCCAAGCTGTGTTGGGCAGCGGGACTCTGTCAGGGAAGATCTGACTGGACTCTTGCCTGACCCTGGTAGGAATACATCCTGGAACCAAGGACTCCCTTGCCCCATCTGCCCTGTTGGCAGCAGGACAAAAGGACACATGACCAGGTCTGGGGCTGAAGATGAGGAGCTCAAGCCATGTGTTGGTGTTCAAGGGCATCCTGGGGACAGCGAGGAGCAGAGCTGGTGGATGTGCTGCTGGAACTGGCTGGGGAGGACAGCATGATGTGGGAAAAAGCAGAGATGGCTCACAGGGCTGCAGCTGCAAAACTTCTCTGTCCTGTCAGTGCTCTGCAGCTGGGGAGGAAGGAAACCTGGGGCAGACAAGGCTGCAGGGCTGCATCCGTCCCAGCCTTGGCACGGGACAGCCCAGGAGAGTGCCAGGGAACTTGCTTGGGAAGCTGTTCTGGTGGGGAATGGGAGGGAACTGGGCTCCTCACTTACAGCCACATCCCAGCCTTGCCCTGCTCAATAAAAGCTGGTGGTGAGATGTGGGAGCTGGCAGTGTGAGCACTCCTATCTGCTTTCCAGTAGCTGCAGGCGGGACACTTCCCCGTGGGCACCCATTCAGGCTGGAAGAGGGCAGTCCTGCAGTGATCCAGGGCTTGTCCCCAGCACCAATCCCTCAGCACCCAAGGGACTGCCCTTGGTTTAATGCTGGAGACAGCAACCAGCAGGTCAGGACCAAGTTGCTCCCCCCGCTGGGACGCTACCCATATGCTGGAGTTTGGTTGGGTACTGGGAGACCCTTGAGGGAGCTGCTGTTCTCCTCCACACCATAATGTGAGACTGGTACCTCTCCCTACTTACCATCCTGTTTTCCCCACCCCATCCAAATGTCTGGCTCGGTGTTCTGTCCTTCCTGGCAGGGCTGATGCAAGATGTAGAGCAGTGTGGCGCAGGCTGCCCATGGACCTTCCCACTCAGGAAACACTCCACCAAGGCTTGTTTACCTGACACGGGGGTAGGCTGCGCTGGGGCCCCTGTATCTTAGTGGGAATACCCTGGGGGTAGAGGGAGCTGGTGGCCCTCACTGAGGTGGCTGTGGGTGCTGCTGTTTTCTACTTTTCCCACTCAGCCAGCCCTGTGTCCAGGTGCAGTGGGGAAGTCGCAGCCCCTTGTTTTCCATGCTTTGAGCAATGTTCCTGGGTCTCTTCCTGTCCTCCCTCCCACCCCTGCTGCAGGGGCTGCCTGCCACATGCTTTCCATGCTGATTTGTGCAAGCCATATCCCAAAACAGTGCACACAGCTGGAAACCCTAAGGGTGACTTGGGTACCAGCATGTTTGTGGAGCACCCCTGGCACTGGGTTAAAACAAATCAAGGGTCATTCTTGAAAGCTTCAAGCAAAAGACTGGAGGGCAAGATCTGCAAATGCTTCAAGATTACCCTCAAATGATGGGACCTGCAGCTTATCCTGCTCTGAGGAGCAAGAGTGGAACCTAACGTAGCAGGAGTTGGGGTCCACATCTGACATGGCTGCATGTAGTAGGGGCAGGCTTACTCTGAATTGTAATGCTTGTGCTGCCTGGGACCGGCGCAAGGACATGGGGACAGGGCAAGTCTGTCGGGGAAAGCTGGTGGTGGGTGTTGAGATGATATGAACCTCCATGCTGCCACCATGTAGTATGGAATGGACTGGGTGAGTTGTACCCCTGCAGCTGAGCATATCCTTCAGTAGCTTGCTGGATCCCTTTTGGATCCCATTTCCAGTTCTGGTATACATGGTGTCCTGGGGCACAGCCTACACAGACTCTGCCTCAAAAATGACTCATGAAGTTCCTCCTTCACTACCTCATGGATGAGGGGGACTTGCTGCTTCCCTTCCCCTGTCACTCAGGGTCTAGGTGGGCCACGTGGCACCCTAGCTCTGGACACCTGTCCTGGTCCAAGCAGGCTCTCCCCATCCCTGTGTGCCATTTCAGCTTGGCTGGTTGCTCTCTAAGGCCAAGGAGAACCATGTGCAGCACTTGAGGATATATGTGATGGTTTCTATATTGTTTTTTAACACTAAAGTTTCACCTCAGTAGTATTAAACTTTTAAAAAGGAAGTTACATAAATCCAAGTATGTAAGTTAATAAGTTTATCAAAAGTGATGGTTAAAAAAATCAAATTCAAACACACTCATGCCCAGCAGCTTTTCCAAGCAGTTCCTGGCGTCTGGTGTCACCTCTTTGACTGCTGCCCCACACTGAGATATTCCAGGCAGCTCTGCCCATCAGAGTTGGCAGGGCCAGGAGCCTGTCTCTCATGGCTACCCTGTGTTGCTTCTCCCCCTCCCCCATCACCTGAATGGCCTGGGTGCTGTGTGTGGCCTTGTCCCCTGTTCCTCTTGTGGCATGGGGTCTTGGACAACAAGGACACAGGTTCCTGGGACGGATGTGGCTGTCCCACTGAAAAAAGCAACAAGGGCAGGGAGCAGGAGAAGGCATCACTTACTTACACTGGAGATTTGGGAGCTGCATCTCCAGCTGACCAGCCTCCCTCTAACTCTGGGGAGGTAATGGGAACCAAATGAGTCCTGGCACCTCCCTGGAGTTCCTGTGGCTGCTGCAGGCATCACACACACAGGGAAACACTGGCCTCCTTCCCTGTCCCTGCCAGAGGTGAGAGTCCTGCAACTCCCCTCATCCCTATGCAGGGACTTCCAGCAGGACATCACATCCACTGGTGGTATGAGGATCAAGGTGGAGGTGTGCTGCCCCGAGGAGAAGAGCAGGGCTGCTGGCCTCAGGGCTTATGTCCACCACCCGTGTTTCCTCTCAAGGAGACCAACCACTGTCTGCCTGTCCTCACTCTGTGCTCCCAGTTGTACCTTTTTTGGAGGCTTACAATACTAGCTCCTGGCAGTCCTCCTTGGCCCCAGCAGATGTGTCACCTGAGCACCCTGACAAGGTCAGCTACATCTACAGATGTACCTGACAGAATCTCATGGACAGAACCTCATGTCCCGCAGGTGCTGTAGAGTGGGGCTGTAGGAGAAGACTGGTGTCATTGTAAAGGGACCGTGACAGACTCCGGCCCCAAAGCCAGCAGAGTCCCCCATGGCCAGGTGCTCCCAAATTCTCTATCCTTCCCCTGCCTGTGTACCCCTTGCAGACAGGCAGCTGTCTCACAGGAGCAGCACACACTGTGTTATCAGCGTCCCTGGGCTCCCTGTGTCTCCCAGCCTTACAGAGCAAAGGTTTGTTTAATAAGGCTTTAGGAGTCAGAGGTGCAGTAAGATGATTTAGAAGAAGAGGAGACAAAACATAAACCAGGCTTATGCATCAGGAAAAAAATACATATTTTTGGGTAAGCCTGTAAAGGTGATGTGGAGATGTAGTGTCATAGCTGATGAAGTCCTGATGCTAAAGCTTATCCGGTTACATCCAGCCTCCCCAGTCTTAGGAGGTCATTGGAGCACTGCCTCCCAGCAGCTTCTCCTGGCATATGCCGGTGCAGGTGTCTCACATGTCTCCATGCAAATAAAGTTTCACTGCGATCTTAATGTCCCACTTCTGACTTAGAAGACTTTTGCATCTGAACAAAGTTGGGCGTAATCCTTCTGCCTGTTGCAGCCACTGATGTTTGCAGTCTCAGCATGTTTTAAACTTTTGCCTGCTCTCATGCATCTATTTTAAGCTGTGGGAAAAAAGGCAACTCTCACTTCGCTCCCTGTTATTTGTCTGCGCTAGTTTTGCTTTGGGAGTTCCCACTTCCTGGCAGGGACCACAAACTCTTCAACAGGTTAATCTAAAAGTAATTCCCCAAATTTAACATCCTCCATCCAGCACTGACATGAGAACCTGGAAGTCCACAGGTAAGGGCATCTGTGCCTCAGGACTGGTGTGTGTCTTCTCCTCTTGCAAGGCTCTTCCTTGCAGGCCAGTCCTTGGGGCACTTCTTGCTGATGCCTTTGGATCACGCTCTTCCGGCTGCTTCAGAGGTGTTCGATGATGAACTCAACAGTTTTGTTCCCCTCCTAGCAATTCCTCTTCACATATCTCTGTACCATCATCTCAATATCCACACCCATCTACAGATACATTGTGCTGGATTTTGTAATTTACTGTGATCTCTGTCTTCTCCAGGCCCACATAGATCTGCTGAAGTCAGGCAGGTGAGCTGTGTCAGCAGCATCCCTGCTCTCATTCCGAGCCCCACTTCACTTGTTGCCTGCTCAGACATTCTCTTGAGTTTGAAGGAGAAGCCCCTAGGCTCTGGTGGGAATTAAAAGGCCCCAGAGACTGGGGGGTATAAGCAGACTAGGCAAAAAAAATTGGTTTCTGTGATGTAGGGTTTGGTGGGGAAAAGGAACCTGGAAATGTTTTGAGGAGAAACCAAAGAACCAAGCAAGCTGATGATGTCTGGGCAGTGGGTTGCCTTACAAAGCAGACCCCTTTGTGTTCTCCCAGATCTGCCCTCAGAGGCACAGTTAATACTTTTGTACTCCCAAAGAAATGGTCTTCGTTAGAGGTAGTTTGGTTGCTGAATGCTGAGCTGAGCTGTGGGCACAGGCTTTACTTTCCTGTTCTGTTGTTAACAGACTGGGCTGTGATCAAGAGCTGCCCGGTGGCACTGAGCCAGGGAGATCTCCTGCCATCAGTGTGCACAGGGTATGAAGTAGCCACAGGGTAGCCCCACAGCAAGTACTGGCTCCAGCAGTGGCTGAACACAGGGATGGACCATGCTGCTGTGGCTATGATGGCACAGCACAAGGCCAGCTCCTGTCAAAATGAAACCCCTTTTTAGAATCACTTTCTGTTGGCATGGGACATGCCCATAGGTTAGCAACGGATGAACAAAGATGCAGGTGCCTCTTTTTTCACAATAAATGTTAGCATAGTTTTTCCTAGGATATCCCTGGGATTTCATTCCAGCCCTTCTCCCTTTGGAGGTCCCCTGGCACCCCTCTGGAAAGATAGTTAGTCAAACTGGGACCAATAATTCTATAGACACAGCAAACCAGTTGGCCTGAGCAGTAACCGACTGAGCACTCCTGGTTCAGCAAATCTCTTTCGCTAATAACTGTGGTGATCTAGTGGGCCCTGCAAGGCCTTTCTGGCCTTTCAAAAAAAAAAAGCCAAACCAGGAGGGCAGAAGTACACGTTTCTAGGCTAAAACAGAGACTGGTGTTTTCTACATACTAAGTGGTACTAACCACCAGTGTAATCTCAACTACAGTGTCAGTTTGCTGTGCCTTAATGCATTTGTGCTGATGTTCCCTGTTCTGTACATTTGAAATAAGTTTGTAAAAGCCAGTGAGTCTGCAAGAGCTCGTAGAAGGGCCAGCTGAGAGCCCGGCGTCAGGGGCAACAGCACCCGCTTGAAAGATGAAATCAGGAAGAGCCAAGGGTGCCCTGGGCTGACCGTGATGGAGCGGCAGGAAACCCAGCACCTTAACGGGGGCAGCGAGGAGCTGCTGGAGTGGGTACACCCTTCGGGGGCCGGCAGAGGCAAAGGCTAATTGAAACACCGCTAATTAAACGTTATGGGAGG